TTATTGGCACATGCTCACTATAAAGAGCTTCTATCTAGCTAGAGCAATTCTGAGGCCAATTTATACCTTTTTTTTCTTTCCCCACTTCCCAACTAAAAGCAATTGGGGGGATTATTTATTATATATTCAAGGAGCACTGATGATGTTTTTCAATAAACATCTTAAACAAAATAACTAACCTGGGTCCTTTTTGGGAATATGCACTTACTTATGAAAGAAAGGTTCTATATTTACTATATAAAGGTAAAACCCTGAATAGACATTGATCAGAGGCCATAAAAGTCACCTAGAAGCGGAATTTAACAGAATAACAGAGTTGGAAGGGACCTTGGAGGTCTTCTAGCCCAACCCCCTGCTCAAGCAGGAGACCCTGTACCATTTCAGACAAATGGCTGTCCAATCTCTTCTTTAAAACCTCCAAATTGCCTACTGAGATAGAATCAAGGTCAAGTGGCCTTCCAGGTGTTATTTATTTTCACTCCTTTTCTTTGGATATCTTAAACAATTCTCACTTTCCCACGCTGCAGTAATCTTCTTCCTCCAGTAGATGGCTCTCCTGCTCCAAGTCCATTAAACAGCGACAACAGCGACAAGTCCATTAAAAACCGACAAGCAGATACCGGCTGGTTTTCATGGAGCTCGCAGACTTCCGCTATTTCCAACTGTTCTCGCCACGACACCAACCGGTTCTATGCAATAAGAATTTTTGAGCTGCTGCCAGTCTCCACCTAGGAGTTTAACGGCTTTGCAAAAGTCGATAATCCCAGTTCAGCCAAGATCCCAGTTCAGTCAAACTTTGAAGCATCAGGAAAAAGTTGTCACCAGGAAGCATCCTGCTAGCTTCTGCCTGCTCCAGGTGGCCTTTCCTAGAATAAAAAAAGAGGTGGAAGGGACCTTGGAGGTCTTCTAGTCCAGCCCCCTGCTGAAGCAGGAGAACCTATACTATCTCAGACAAGTGACTGTCCAGTCTCTTCTTAAAAACCTCCAGTGATGGAGAGTCCACAATTACTGGAGGCAAGATCTTCCACTGGTTAGTTGGCCTCACCGTTAGGAAGCTTCTCCTTAATTCCAGATTGCTTCTTCCTTTGATTAGTTTCCAACTATTTCTTGTCCTGCACTCTGGTGCTTTGGAGAATAATTTGAGCCCTTCTTCTTTGTGGCAGCCTCCCAAATGCTGAAATACTGCTATCATGTCACCCCTAATTCTTCTTTTCTTTAGACTAGCCAGACCCAAACCCTGCAACTTCATATGGTTTAGTCTGCAGGCCTTTGATCATCTTAGTTGCTCTTCTCTGAACTTTTTCCAAAAAGGCAGCTGCACTAAATCCCTAAACAGAAATGCTAGATGAAAGGCTTGCAAAGGGGAAGCATCTCTACCCTCTGCCTCTGATTCTGCGAAAGGAAAAATGATGCAAGGGAACCCTATTGGCAGGCCCGATGGCACGCTCTTAAAGCCTACAACTGTTCGATGTTAAAAAAGGCTGATGGCTAGTATTGATAATTTGTTCTTCCTTCTCTCCCAAGAAATGTCAAGACAGAGAAGTGGAGGTTGCATCTTTTCACAACTGTGGAGAGGCTTCAACATCTCACCATGCTAATGGCAGAAGCCCTGTCTCTATTGATTTGCTGATATGCCAACAGACAGAATCTTTGCGTTTTTATTTCAGGATCCATTGAAAGAATCCCTTCCGTTAGAGAGCCTGAGAGATGTGGAGAGTCCCAGTCCATCAAGGTAGGTAGCACCTCAGAGGGAGAATACCCCCTACTGGTTCACAAGGGGCTTTCATTTACATTTATTTCACCTTTTTGCTCTGGACTGAAAACTTGGAAGACAAAGCCGTGGAAGAGGAGCTCTGTCCTAAATGGGGAGAAAACACATTCCTCAGAGGTAAGCAGGTTTTGGCAATGGGGACAATGGAGGCCATGCCATAAGTCCTGATGAGGAAGGGGAGAAATTGTGCAATATAGCCTCCTAAGCTTAAGGTTTCCAAAGGCCCTCCTGCTGTTGGCTTTATTTTTATTTTATTTTATTTATTTTTATTTATTTTTATATGCTGCCCTTCTCCGGAGACTCAGGGTGGCTTACAATGCGTTAAGCAATAGCCTTCATACTTTTGTATATTTTATACAAAGTCAGCTTATTGCCCCCACAAACCGAGTCCTCATTTCACCCACCTTAGAAAGGATGGAAGGCTGAGTCGGCTTTAACTATTTTATTGAGATTCAGGAACCTTAGGATTTAGCAACCACAGTGTCATTTGCAGGACTCCATGATATTTCTGGTGGGCTCCAGGATCAGCAGCTTGGAGGAAGTAAACTCCCTTGCTGACCTTCTGGATGAGGAGTCAGAGGGAAGCTGGGACCAGGATGCAGTGGCTTCCAAGGCCAGCGTTTCTTCCAGTCCATGGGTAAGAAAGACAAAGTGTTTTCTGTTGGGGAGGGATGGACGCCCTCTGGTCAGTTCTCCTAAACTAGTGAACTGTGCTGGAGTGCAGTGGGTTCTGGAGCCAGTGCAGAGCTGCCTAGTCTTCTGTTGGGCAGTGAATATGGCAGTACCAACAGGAACAGTTAATTTGGTCATGGCTGTCAGGAGGCTTTTCAAAGTAAGTGTGGCCATCTCAGCAGCCATGAAACTGGCAGTAGGAGAAAAAGTCAAGCAGGAGACCATGTACCATTTCAGACAAATGGCTGTCCAATCTCTTCTTTAAAACCTCACTGATAGGACAGCCATAAATTCTGCAGACAACCCGTTCCAGTGGTTAATTGTTCTTCCTATCGGGATATTTCTCCTTAGTTCTAGGTTGATTCTCTCCTTCATAACTTTCCACCTGTTACAGCCACTTCTCTGTGACAGCCCCTCAGATGTTGGAAGACCACTATCATGTCACCCATAGTCTTTATTTTTGTTAGATATAGCCAGTTCCTGCAACCCTTCATCATATGTTTTAGTCTTGATTGTTCTTCTCTGCACCCTTTCTATAGTCTCAGCATCTTTGTTGCATTGTGGTGGCCAAAACTGGAGATAATATTCCAAAATATGTTGTTACTAAAGCAATGTGGTATGTATCTTCTTCCATTTTCTGATCTCTACAACACCCTCCCCGCACACACCCAGGAATTAAAACGTGGCTTTTTCCCCTCCTCTTGGGACAGGATGTTTCCCAGTGCATGTGGTATATGAGCTTCCTCTGGTGTGATCCGTTTTTTGGTTGTTGATGATGCCGATAATATTTCAATGATTAATTTTAATTATTGCTTACTGCCCAAATTCATATGTCATATGGGTGGCTATATACATTGAAATAAGTAAGGTTGTATTGATTATCTAGTGATAACTTCCAAGTTACCAGCATTTTTCAAGTTTCCCATATCTCAGCTGCCACTCAAGCACTTCTCTAGGCCATGGACCACAGTAACCGACCTTCTCAAATATTCTATACTAAGGATATGTTGTCAAAATGAAATACAATAACGCAAGAATGAATCCTCCTGTTTCCGGAGGCTGAACAGACAGGGAATGCATAAATACAGAAGAGATGTTAGATTTTTAAGAGACACCAGACCTATTATTTTAATCAGTGTAATCTGCTGTTCCTATTGCCATATGATCAGAACAGCAAGAGCAAGAGTTCAATAGGTCTCTCACTAACCAATTATGGAAAACATGCTACTTGCCATTTCCACAATTCTTCTCAAAAAGTCCATTCACTGGGTAAATCCACCGCATTTGACGACTGAGCTGCAACTGTTTTACCATAATGTCCTGCAAAACAGAGAAAGGCACAATAAAAAGGAAAGTCTAAGAGGTCATTTAATATGATGAGATAATTAAATGAAGTGCTAATATCTTTAGCTCTTTCCCGCCTTCATTAAGCTGTTGTTTTAGTAAAGTGTATTGAAAGGAAACTAAAAACCTAGCAAAATTATACTGTGTGTTATCCAGCATCTCTCTCTCTCTCTCTCAATTTATGTATTAGAACTGCCAGTTCTCAAATATCCACTGGTTTCTCTACCCAGATAGTTTGTAAAAGTTAAGATGGGATTGTGGGTGGGGGCTGTGGGAGTTCTGCACTGCAGCTTGGTGAAACTACTATTTCCTCTTTTCATCAAAACTGAATGGTGAATCTTTCCCTGCATTTAGAAGCAGTAAATGTAAAAGTTTGGCCTGTCAGGGGAAACAAAATGCAAAGGCTTGTTATTACTCAGCAGCAAAGCAGAAGCAGAAAGAAAGGAAACTAAACAGGATGAGGAAAAATTATGTGCCAAGGCAATTTAGGCAGGGATTAGCATTAGAATTCAGAAACAGCAAACAGTGTTTAAACTCACACAAAATGGGGGTCCTACATCAAATTGTAGATCAGATCATGACCGGCTGTAAACTGAGGCCATATATGGTATGCGATTTTTAAAATATAAATGATGCTTCGCTTCAATGGTTAAATGGCCTAGAGATTGGTATTTGAACATAGATCTAACGTATTTGTGTTTTCTTAATGTACATGAAATGTGTGTGTATATATACACGCTATGTATGTATGCATATGCCACAGGCTAAAGAAATAAAATTTGCTCCCAAATGGCAAATATCCAGAGTAACCGTTCCTTCCTGTTGCCTTGCCTTGTTTAGCCCTAGTATTTTATCACCATCATAATCCTATTCATAGTTATTTGTGGGCTCTGGGGTTTGTGTGTCTGTCTCCACTGCAATAAAGTGTGCAAACCATTGAAAACACTGGCTGTCTCAGCCTGAGGGGAACTACAGGAGGACCAACAGCAGGGACTGCAGACCTCTCTCATCTCAGGCCTGATTTTGAGGCCCTGGGTTGGGAAAGGAGGAGGCCATTTTCTGTGGCCCAGAAATTCAGTGAGTGCTGACTGGATCTTAGGACCATCAATCAAAGGACAGTAACAGTGGGTTCCTCCTCCTGGTTTGTATTCTTTCTTCCTGGAGGGAGAGAAGTGAGAAATTTGGGAGCTGGGAGTGGAAGGACAGACGGGAGGAAGGTCTGGAGTCTTAGCCCTAGGAAAAATATTCAGAGTGATAGAGGTGGTTCTCAACTTACGACCACAATTGAGCCCAAACTTTCTGTTGTTAAGTGAGACATTTGTTAAGTGAGTTTTGCCCCATTTTACTACCTTTCTTGCCACTGTTCTTAAGTGAATCACTGTAGGTGATGTTACTAACAATGGTTGTTAAGTGAATCTGGCTTCCTGTATTTATTCTGCTTTTCAAACGGTTGCAAAAGGTGATCACATGATCTTGGGACACAGCAATGGTCGTAAGTATGAATCAGTTGCCAAACATCTGAATTTTGGTTACACGATCAAGGGACTGCTACAAAGGTCGTGAATTTGAAAAGTGGTCATAAGTCTCTTTTTTCAGTGCCATTGTAACTTTCAACAGTCACTAAATGAACTCTTGTAAATCAACAACTACTTGTCCTATGTCTACCTAATCCTGTTTCCAAACTTTCCTTTGAAATTTCTCTAATCACTTCACAACTCTGAAGCCCATCCTTCAGGAATGGAGTCAAAAGGATAACAATTTATTCCTGTTTTGGCATCATATCAAAGTTAGATATTTTTATAAATTCATAGAGGATACAAGGACAACATTTAAAAATGAAAAAAAAATTGAGCAAATTCTCCCATTGCAGGAAGAAAAAAAGTTGTATCTATATGAAACAATAGACATTTTAGAAGTAAACCTGCAAACTGGGATTTGAAAGAAAATAAGACTTTGTTCTGTTTCTGTGAAGCATGTGAATTCATATATTTCATTGTATCTGAAGTACAAGTGAAGCTGGTTACTTTGAACCGGGTGTCTATTTGTTTTGTTGTTTGTTTGTTCCTACTGTATGATATTTGGAAATTTAAAATAGAAAATAATTGCTAATAGCAAGTCCATTCATAAAGAAAGAAGAAATGTCTCTATTTATTAGGGGAATGAATGCTTCAAAATTTATTTAGAAAACATTTAAGTACAGTGTCTCTTTCCTGGTCTTTAAAAATGTGAACTTTTTTCTCTTTGAGCTCGAAGTCACATTATCAGTAATGATAGTCCTCAGTTTAAGACTGCAATTGAGCCCTGAATTACAGCCATACATTGCTGCAGTGGTGAATCGAGGCATGATGTGACTGGACCCAAATCTTCAACATTTTTACAATAGTTGTTAAGCAAATGCTGTAGTCATTAAGCAAATTTTGAAGTCATTAAGTGAATGCCAGGATGCTGCAAACAGTAACAAAGGTAAGGCAATTGCAAAGCATCCAAATGAGGTTGTTAGTTTGCCAGATCAGCCTAGCGAATTCAAGGATAGCCCCTTGGATTCATGGTGATATCTTGCAGAGAACTTTGATTTGTACATTAAAATGAACAATTGTCACCTTCTTCTTTTGCTCAGGTCTGACGAGGCACAGAAACATGGTGAGCAGCAGGGAGGCATGGAGTCACATCTTCATTTCCAGGGGTAAGGATGGTTCTGCAACATGGCCAGTGGAGTTCATGCATGAAAACCAGGTGGGGGAAGGGAGGAATTCTCACCTGGAAGAGCCCCTTGGATTTGTGGAAAGATCTTGATGGCTTGGAGGGGAAAATACTGGGAAATATTAAGGAAGAGCCATTTTCAGCCACTTCCTGTCGGCCAAATTTTCCACAATCTGCTGTTTCTTTACTCTCTGGAATGCAGCCCTTCCCTCCTGGGGAAGACAATGTTACACCACATGCAGAGAACTTTGATTTACATCTTCCAATGAAATGCTTTCAGGTTTCGATAGGTGTTCGTGCCGCTGTAAGGAGCCCCAGGAACCAAGATGTGATGTCCATTCATGATCTGTGGAGGTATGTGTTCTGAAGCCCCCAAGAAGGCAGCTACACTAAAGCCCTCTCTCCCCGGGAGGCCAGACGCCTGCACTGTCAGATAGGAGGCTGCATGGCTGTCTCACCCGGCAGGCCCCTCACTCGCCTGCCCTCCCCACAGGCCCCTCACTCACTTGCCCAGCAGGCCACTTGCCCACCCAGCTGGCCAGCTGTTGGGAGGTTGCTCGCCTGGCTGGGAGGCCAGGTGGACAAATCAGAAGAGGAGTCTGAAGTGCAATCCAGCAGTGACAGCAACGCCCCAGATAACATGTAAGTGACCCTGGGCTCTGAGCTTGGTACATTCAAGCGAAATCCATAGGGTTAGGGTTAAATCATGTCTGTGTAAATCTACATTCCTAAACCTTCATCATGATAACGTGCAATGAGAATTTTTGAGCTGCAGCCAGAGCAATTTCTCCACCTGGGAGTTTAAAGGCTTTGCAGAATTCGGTGATCCCAGTTCAGCCCAGATCCCAGTTCAGTCAAACTTTGAAGCACCAGGAGAAAGTTGCCACCAGAAAGCATCCTGCTTTCTTCTGCCTGCTCCAAGTGGCCTTACTTAGAATAGAATAGAGCTGGAAGGGATCTTGGAGGTCTTCTAGTCCAGTCCCCTGATAAAGCAGGAGAACCTATACCATCTCAGTCAAATGTCTGTCTAGTCTCTTCTTAAAAACCTCCAGTGATGGAACATCCACAATTCCTGGAGGCAAGCTGCCCACTGGTTAATTGTCCTCACTGTTAGGAACTTTGATTAGTTTCCAACCATTATTTCTTGTCCTGCCCTCTGGTGCTTTGGAGAATAATTTGAGCCTTTCTTCTTTGTAGCAATCTCTCCAATATGGAAATACTCAGGGGTGGGATTCAGCTGGTTCGGACCAGTTCAGGCTAACAGGATGATAACTTTATATCTGGTTCGCCGAACTGGTAGTTGCAAGGACTGAGTGCCCCCCCCCCCCCCGAGTCTCCAAGTGACCCGTTTTGGATGCCAGGTAAGTGCAGGGCCCACGCAGAGCCTCTGAGAGGGCAAAAACCGGGCTTTCCGGAAGTCAGGAAATGGGCCCGTTTCCGGCCTCCAGAGGGCCTCCGGAGCCCAGGGGAGGCCATTTTCGCCCTCCCAGAGGCTCGAAGAAAACCTCCACTGGAGGTCCCACCTCTTCACAACTGTGGAGACCTCCACTGAGTCGGTAAGGTGTGAACATCTCCTCACCATGCTAATGGCAGAAGCCCTGTCTCTGCAGATGTATTGATATGCCAACAGACAGAATATTTGCATTGTTATTTCAGGATCCATTGGAAGAATTCTTTCCATTAGAGAGCCCTAAAGGTGTGGACAGTCTCTGTCCATCAAGGTAGGTAGCACCTCGGAGGGAGAAGACCCCTAATGGTTCAAAAGGGGCTTTCATTCCACATTTCACTTTCTTCCTCTGGACTGAAAAGTTGGAAGACAACGCCATGGAAGAGGGGCTCTCTCCTAAACCCCTAATGGGGATTAAACACGTTCCTCAGAGGTAAGTGGGTTTTGGCAATGGGGACAATGGAGGCCATGCTGTAGATCCTGATGAGGAAGGGGAGAGATTGTGTGATATAGCCTCATAAGCTTAAGGCTTGCAAAGGTGTCCTTGCTATTCAGAACACAAGGCCTGAATGCACCCTTAGACATCTTTTTTTTTTTTTATTGAAAAGTTTTACAAAAAGTTTACATATTCTCCCCCCCCCTTCCCTACCTCAACCTCCCCCCTCCCCCCCTCCCCTTCCCAGAACAAATTACAGGGTATAAACTTCAACAATCATAATCAATCCTAATCTAAACAATTATGACATTTCACATCTCTTGTTTCTTCAATTCCCTAATTACCCGCCTAGCTTTATTACTTAAAGACACACTAAATATCTATATAATCATTCATAACCTATCTGCAATTTCTTATTCCGATATTTATTTTGAATATAATCTATCCAGCCTGAATGCACCCTTAGACATCTTATTGAGATGCAGAGAGGTTTGTATTTGTCCTCCATATTGTCATTTTCAGGATTCACTGACAGTCCTGGTAGGATCATCACCTTGAAGAACCTTCTCAATGAGGAGTCAGAGGGAAGCTGGGAGCAGGATGCAGAGGCTTCGGCGGCCAGTGTTTCTTCCAGTCCATGGGTAAGTAAGACAAAGTGTTTTCTGTTGGGGAGGGAGGGATGCCCTCTATTCAGTTCTTCGAAACTGAGTGAACTGTGCTGGAGTGCAGTGGGCTCTGGAGCCAGTGCAGAGCTGCCTAGTCTTCTGTTGGGCAGTAAATATAGCAGTACCAATAGCAACAGCTAATTTGGTCATGGCTGTCAGAAGGCTTTTCAAAGTAACTGTGGCCATCTCAGCAGCCAAGGACCTGGCAGTAGGAGAAAAAGTTGCGCTTCCAACTCTTCTTACTGGCTCAAGTCTATTTCTCTTCTCTTCTATTCACAGCACATCTGGAAAAGATGTTCAGCACTTTTCTGCTGCATCAAGGGTGACTTGGAGGACCTTCCTATGCCTCCCGACAGGTACTACCACCTTCTCCTTAAACCCTGGGCATGGTGGGGCACCATTGATGACCGTAAGAGAATCTGTAAGAGCCTCTCCACAAGATGGCTTCTTGTCCAGAAGGGGCTTGTGGGAGCAAAAGATGGGCAGGTTGACTGGTCGGTCTTAGAAAGGGAAGGCTGAGGTAGATGGATGTTCTTTGACATGTCACCTTCTTCTTTTGCTCAGGTCTGACAAGGCACAGGAACATGGTGAGCAGCAGGGCTGCTCCCCCCATGGAGACACATCTTCATTCAGAGGGGTAAGGACGATTTTGCAACATGCCCAGTAGAGATTCATGCCTCAAAACTGGGTGGGGGAACCTGATCATCCTAGCGAATTCAAGAAGAGCCCGTTGGATTCATGGTGTTATCTTGCAGAGAACTTTGATTTATACATTCAAATGAACAATTATTACTTTCAGGTTTTGATAGGTGTTTGTGCCAACACCCGGAACTCCAGGAAGGAAGATATCAGGCCAGCTCTCATTTTAATGAGGTTAGTGTTCTCAGCTGAGGGATTTTGAAGCCCCCAAGAAGGCAGCTACACTGAAGCTCTAAAGAGGACTAGAAGAAAGGTTTGTAGAGAGGACTAGAAGAAAGGTTTGTAGAGAGGCGGCATCTCTACACTCTACTTCTGTTTCTGCTAAAGGAAAAGTGGCACAGGGCAACCTCATTGGCAGGCCAGCTGGCAGGCCTCTTAAAGCCTCCACCTGGTTTACTCTTAAAAAAGGCTTATGGCTATTTTTGATAATTGGCCGTTCATTCTCTCCCCAGAAATGTCAAGATAGAGAATGGAGGTTACGTCTCTCCATAATTTTGGACAGCTCCATTGAATCAGTAAGGCCTGGACATCTCCTCACCATGCTAATGGCCCTTTCTCTGTGGATTTGTTGATATGCCCACAGACAGAATCTTTTCATTTTTATCTCAGGTTCCATTGGAAGAATCCCTTCCATTAGAAAGCCCGAAAGATCTGGAGGGTCCCTTTCCGTCAAGGTAGGTAGCACTGTGTAGGGAGAAGACCCTTGCTGGTTCATAAGAGGCTCAAAAGATGGACAGGCTGAGTGACTCATCTTGGAAAAGAGAAGCTGAGCTAGCTTGATTCCTTAAACATCTCATCTTCTTCCTCTGGGCAGGACTCTAATGGGGGAAGACCAAGACACAGAAGAGGAGCTCTCTCCCAATGGGGAGAAAACAACTTTCTCAGATGTAAGAAGATTTGGGTAATGAGGCCGATGGAGGCCATACCATAACTCCTTATGTCAGAGGGGAGAAATTGTGTGATATTTCCTTGTAAGCTTAAGGCTTGCAAAGGCTTTCTAACTGTTGGCACATAGGGGTTGTATGCACCCTATGCTTTAGCCATCTTATTGAGATGCAAAGAGCTTTGGATTTAGTTTGCATACTGTCATTTGCAGGATTCTATGACATTCCTGGTGGGCTCCAGGATCAGCAGCCTGGAGGATGTGGACTCCCTTTCTGACCTTCTGGATGAGGAGTCTGAGGGAAGCTGGGAGGATGCTGCAGCGGCTTCTGATGCTAGCAATTCCTCCAGTCCATGGGTAAGAAAGACAAAGTGTTTTCTGTTGGGGAGGGATGGAGGTCCTCTATTCACTTCTCCTAAACTGTCCTGTCACATGAAAAGATATACTTAAATATTTACAAAATGTGAGGGAGTGTATTAACTTCTGTGATATACTGTATGCTGGAGTGCTCTGGGCGCTGGAGCAAGATGATACCTAGTCCTTGGGACAACATATTTAGACTAACTATATGGACCCAAGTTCTGCTGTGATTGGTTCTTTTACTGCAAAGCAGCAGACTGCTGTCCTCAATGGATGTGACCCACCTGCCTTTTGCTTTTGCTTTTTCCACATCATCCTTTGCTGCACCGTCTGCTTCCAGGCAGGACTTAAATACGGAGAGAATAGAAAGCCTACTTTTCTGGTGATGGGTGAGCTGAGATTGAGGATTCTTCCAACTCTGGAGATGTATCCAGCAACAGAAGCATTGTTCTGGTTGGGGATCCAAATTCAATAGGCCCTATTTTAGGAATGCCGAGTTTCTTTTGCCCCGATGCCTAAAGAGGAACTATTGTCATTCACGGGATTCTCCCAAAGAAGTGGAAGTCACCCTAGAAGATCTCAGCAGCCTGGAAGAGGACTCCCTGGACTCCACTCTCTAATTCAAAGAGGTATCTATTTCAGGTTCTTCATGGATCACCGCATTGTCATGTCGAAAAGTCTTGTGCAGCTCAATGAAGCAATGAGCCATGCTGTGCAGGGTTACCCAAGACAGACAGTTCATAGTGGAGGGTCCTAACACAAGGTGACCCAGTGGAGAAGGAAGTGGCAACCCTCTCCAGTATCCTTACTAAGAAAACCCAATGAAAGGTATCAAAAGGCTACAAGCTATGATGCCAGAAAATGACCCCCTCAGATTGGAAGGTGCCTAATATGCTAACTGGGAAGATCAGAGGGGAATTAGAAGAAACTGCAGAAAGAGCAAAGTGTTTGTACTTTTATAGAAAGTGTGTGGTACTAATAATACCCTTTGATTCCTCCCACAGATGCTTCCCCTGATGCCTATCCACATGTCAGCTTGGAGGAGGATGAACCAGCTTCAGGGACATCAGGAGATGAATTGGTCAATGCAAGTGGTTGGATTGGAGGACCCCCAAGGTTCCTTCCAACTCTGTTACTCTATCTGCATATAGATAGATAGCTTCAGGAAAGGAAAGTACGGAGACAGAGGATGGAATTACCTCCAATGGTGAATCCCCTTCAGCAGCTGCTCCCCCCCCCCCCAAGGAAATTTCTTTTGACTGTCTGAATCCTGTTGACTTACTAAAAGGTCTTGAGATCCTGGCTTTTACCTTCAGGCACTGTTAATGGTTCCCTGAATAGAAAAAAAAAATTGAGGGGTCGTTGGTTATGTGATGTTAGATCAATTTTCAAATTGGCTTTATTTTATGTTTTTTTTAAATATTATTTTATCTACATTTTTGTTAACTGCTTGAAATTAAGAGGGATAAATCAATAAAGTTGCTCATTGACAACCATTATTTTCCCTTTGCTACATTTGACGACCTTTCTTGCCCCAGTTGATGAGTGAATCACTGCAGCTGTTATATTGGTAACACAGTTGTAAAGAGAATCTGGCTTCCCCATTGCTCTTGCTTGCCAGAAATTTGCAAAAGCTGAACACATGACTCTAGGATACTCAACCATCATAAATATGAATCAGTCACTATTATGATCATAAATCAAGGACAACGTCAAGCTAAGAATAGAAGAACTGCAATTTTAGCTTATCTGACAAGGGGGCAGAAGGCTCAAAGTAAAGTTTTGCAACATGGCTGCTGGGCAGGTCATGCCTGAAGTCTGATTGGGGATGGGGAGATAATCTCTCCTGGGGAGCCTGGCTAAGCTGGCAACCTCAAGAAGAAGAGCCCCTTGGATTGCTGGAAAGACCTTTGCGGCTTGCAGTGGAAGGTGACACCATTTGCAGAGCCTTTCCAGGTAATTCTCACTTCCATCGGTGTCCCTGGCACAATTAAGGGGTTGCACCTCTGAACCTCCTCCTGATGCTTCACCCCTCTCTTGGGTTGAGTGGCACTTTGTATAAAGAGTTCAGGGCCCCTTAAATGGTATGGGAGTAGGAACGTATTTTCAGAGGAAAATTGCAGACTACAGGAACCAGGAGCACTACTCAGGTGACAGTGAGGAGACAGATAAACCTCCAAGTGCTTCAACGACCCTCTAAAAGGGTGCAAATGACCAGCTGTCTGCAAGGAATATAAATCCTTCCCTTCCCTGTCAGAGCTGAAGAAGCTTCTTGGATGAGAAGCGAAATGCCTTCAAAAGAAAAATAAAAAAAAGTCCAGTCGCGTCCATGAAAAATCACCTTTGGGACAACCATGACTTGGATAACTGAGAATCTCTACAAACTTTTAGCCCTTTAAATAAAAAAAATCTGAAAATGTATATTAGCAAAAAGAAAGGATATTTTCTTCTAAGCAGACAAGATTGGGACCCAATGACAGGTGAGCAAGAGATGCCAGGCTGTACTGGCACAAAGGGTACAGGAAGGTCAAATTGCCCAAGAGGACCATCAGAGAAGCAGGTTGGGTTCCAGGGCCTCTTGAAGAGAAGAAGGAGGGGGAGACATGAGAGCAGTCTTCCAATATTTGCAGGGAATAGGGAGTGGGAAGGGGGTGTTGATTCTTCATGCTGAAGGAAGAACATGAAGGAGAGGGTGGGGAAGCTCATCAGAGAGAGATCCAACTGTGGAAATAAGGAGGAATTTCCTTCCTTGGGCAGGGGGTTGAAGTCCCTTCCACTCTAGAACTCTAGGATTTCCTCTGTACTTTCTGCCACAATGATTGTGCTTCTCTGTTGCTCATGAACAGACAACTGTCAGAGTATGAATATTCACGGACTTGAATAGATCAGCCAATGGGAACATGGTAACAGGCTCAGCCAATGAGGCTTATTTGGAAACAGAAACTTAAGTCTGAAGTCTGGGCATGGCTTAGGCAACTGTGCAGAAGCTTAACTGCCCTGTATAGAGGAGGCTCTTTTTGTATTAAGCTCTGTGATCAGCTCTGAAATGAAACAAGCCTGGGCTTCTCTGTCTGCTGAATTGAAACTGGAAACTGATCTCTCTACTTGCTACCACGTTGAAAGAACTCCGCTATTGGTATTGTAAAATTTACTTCATGTGTTACTATGTATATAAAAAGAAGTTAATCAACCGTGCTGAATCAGTTACCTGTGTGTGCTTCTGGATTTGATTTTTGCAAGAAACTCTGACAACAACTCCCAATTTAAAAAGCAGAGGCCAAAGGCCACCAAGAGACTCAGTGACCAGCCATTCCTGGTCCCAGATGAGCTGCCTTCCTTGTGTGGCTTTAAAATGTGGCTATTGTTTACCTGGTTGCTGAGCAAATGACGTTGTAGTTAGCGATATCAGCCTATCAAGAACAGCCCCTTGGATTCATGGTGATATCTTGCAGAGAACTTTGATTTGTATATTAAAATGAACAATTGTCACCTTCTTCTTTTGCTCAGGTCTTCCTCCAGTCCATGGGTAAGAAAAACAAAGTGTTTTCTGTTGGGGAGGGAGGGAGGCCCTCTGTTCATTTCTCCCAACTTGAGTGAACTGTGCTATATTTCTCTGGCTGCTGGAGCAAGGTGACACCTGGCCCTTGGGACAATATACTTAGCCTAACTATATGCACCCAAGCTCTGGTCTGATTGGTTCATTTACTTCAAAGTAGCAGGGAAGGCCCACTGCATTGGATCAAATGGATGTGACCCACCCTGGTTATGCCTTTCCTTTTTCTGTGTCACCCTTTCCAGCACCTTGCTGCTTCTGGGCAGGGCTTTAACAGGCAAAGAACAGTGAACTACTTTTCTGCAGGACTGGTGGGCTGGGAGTGGATATTTCTCCAACTCTGGAGATGTATTCAGCAAGAGAAGCATTGTTTTGATCAGGTATCCCCATTCAATAGGCCCTCTTTTAGGAATTTCTTTTGCCCTGATACCTAAAGAGGAATCATTGTCATTCCCAGGATTCTCCTGAAGAAGCTGAAGCCACCCTAGAAGATCTCAGCAGCCTGGAAGAAGACTTCCTGGACTTCACTCTCTAATTCAAAGAGATATCTATTTCAGATTTTTCATGGATCACTGAATTGTCATGTCAAAGAATCTTGTGCAACTCAATTAAACAATGAGCTATGCCATGCAGGACCAACCACAAGCAGAAAGGTTGTAGTGGATGGTGCTGACACAATGTGGCCCACTGGAGTAGGAAATGGCAATCCTCTCCAGTATCCTTACTTAAGAAAACCCAGTGAAAGTATCAAAAGGCTAACAGCTATGATGCCAGAAGATGAGCCCAGAAGATATCCAATATGCTACCTGGGAAGAGAAGAGAGCAATTACAGTGAGTGTTTATACTTTTATAGAATGTGTGTGGCATTAATAATTGCCTTTGATTCCTCCCCAGATTCTTCCCTTGATGCCTCTTCAGATGTCAGCTTGGAGGAGGATGAATGAGCCCAGGCAGATCAGGAGTTGTGTTGGTCAATGGCTTCAAGCATCTGGCTGAAAATGATTTGGCTGAAAGAATAGCTGCAGTAGGGCAGCCCTGAGGATTCAGGTGGGAAAGCACGCAGCTGAAGAGGGTTAGTGTTGAGGAGGAGGAACTGCTTTCTGCACCTCATCTGAGAACATGGAGGGCAGAGAAAAGGCAGAAGCAGTGAAAGTCAGCCCAATTATTTGCCAGGAGGCAGTCTCACCCTTCTTGATGGGCTGCACCAGAGGTTGACTATTTAGCACCGGAGACAGATAGTGTCAATGTTCATGAGCAGGGGTTTGGACTAGAAGATTCCAAGGTCCTTCCAACTCTGTTATTCTGTTCTGTTATTCTGCTTCAGCAACAGAGATGGAGGGCGGAATCACCATCACCCGACAAAGCCCCGCAAGGACCCACTTTCCCCCAAGGAACTTTCTGTTTTCTTTCTGAATCCTGTTTACTTCCTGAAAGATCTTTTGACTTTTCCCTCAGGCACTGTTAATAGACCCCAATATGGTTGGCCTTTTTTTTTTGTCTATTGTTAGTTGTGCGATATTTGATCATTTTTCAATTTGGCATTATTTTAAGGGGTTTTTTTGTATTATCATTTTATCTGCATTTTTATTAACTGCCTAAATTAAATAAATTTGTGCATTGACAACCATTATTTTGTAGGTTCAAATGCGGCTATTGTTTTCTGATTGCCGAAAAAACGAGGCTCTGAGTTTGCCGGTAAAGCCCCTAGCCAGTGCAAAATTGCCCATTCTTGCTTCGTGCAGTGAAAGTACCAATAACAATACAATACTCAGCTGTACATCTCCACCCCAGGCCAACCCAACAATGCCCTTGAAGTGATGTCCCGGTGCCTAGAGACCGTGCGAGTCTGGATGGGGAGAAACATGCTTCTACTCAGCCCTTCCAAGACTGAGTGGCTATCGCTTCCAGCATCCCGATATAGCCAGCTGGTGCCATCGCTGGCTATTGGGGACGAGTTACTGGCCCCCACGGAGAGGGCTCGCAACTTAGGCATACTCCTGGATGCACGGCTGTCTTTAGAAGAGCATATGACGGCCGTGGCTAGGGGGGCTTTTTATCAGGTTTGCCTGATTCGCCAGTTGTGTCCCTTTCTGGACTGGGACTCCTTATGCACAGTCACTCAGGCACTCGTCACTTCCCACCTGGACTACTGCAATGCTCTCTACATGGGGCTCCCCTTGAGGAGCACCCGGAGGCTCCAACTGGTGCAGAATGCAGCCGCGCGGGGGATTATGGGAGCGATGGGGCGCTCCCATGTGACACCCCTCCTGCGCGAGCTGCATTGGCTTCCGGTGGTCTTCCGGATGCACTTCAAGTTGTTGGTTACCACCTTTAAAGCTCTCCATGGTATAGGGCCTGGGTACTTACGGGACCACCTTCTGCCTCCGATAGCCTCCCACTGGCCAGTTCGCTTCCACAGAGAGGGACTCCTCAGGGTGCCGTCAGCCAGGCAATGTCGGCTGGTGACCCCCGGGGGAGAGCCTTCTCTGTGGCAGCACCTGCCCGCTGGAACGATCTGCCCCCGGAGATACGTAGATACCAGATCTCTGTGCTTTTCATCATACCCTCAAAACTTTTCTATTTCATCAAGCTGGGCTGGCATAACCCCCCCCCCCCAGATATTTTTAATTGTAAATGGATTTTAGTCAGGAGGTTTTAAATTTTGGGCCAAAATTTGTTTAATTCTTTTAAAATTTAAAATTTTGTATTGGGATGTTTTTTATTCTAGGCTGTGCATCGGCCTGAGTCCAGCAGGAGAAGGGCGGTATAAAAATTCAATTAAAAAAAAAAACAATACCAACACCTACTTGGTCATGCCTGTCAGAAGGCTTTTCAGGGTAAGTGTGGCCATCTCAGCTGCCAAGAAACTGGCAACAGGGAAGAAAGTCATGCTTCTGAACTCTTCTGAATGGCTCACTCCTATTTCTCTTCTCTTCACAG